TGGTGCACCTACCTGGGCTCTTTGAGGAGGCAGTTCCCCAGAGAGTAAGTTGAGGCCAAGCCACAGAGCACCACAGGGACTCAAAGGATGAGAGCCAGAGGAGACTGTGGATGCTCACTCACTGATGATCAAAGCCAGAGATGGGGCGAATAAGAAGACCACAGGCCCACAAATGAATGTGCAGGACTCCAGGTTCCAGACATGGTCACCCATTTGTCCTGTGTATTATTAGCATTTACTGTAGGGTGGATATGAACGTGAAAGAGCTAAAATACCATCCAGTCTTTCTCCACCTGAACCACAGAATACAAATATATTTAGAACAGCTATTTCCCTAAGTCTCCCAAGAATGGTACATAATTAGTACCATTCTAGATGCAAAGGAAAGAAGTTAATTCATGGCATGCAAAGGATGTGTTAAGTCAGTGGTTTCCAACACTAGTCAGTATCAACCACCCCCCAAGGGCTTGTTAAAACACAGATTGCTGGAGCCCACCATCATAGTTTCTGATCCAGCTGATATAGTGTGGAGCCTGAAGAAAACGTGCATTTCTAACAAGCTTCCAGGCATTGCTGGGCTACTCATCTGGGACCACAGTTGGAGAACTAGCACCTTAAGACAATAGGGAATAATTCCCTTGGAGATTCTGGTTGCTAAAGGTTGAACTGCACTAAATCATGTGTAGTTTCTCTTCCATGCATATCAGTGTTCTGACTTACGATTTCAGTGCCATCCCTTCTATACCGAAGGTTCTGAGTATGACATTTAGAAGCCATTATGAAATTTTAAGCAGAACTGAGCAATATGTAGACCTTGCCCTTGATATTGATTTTTAATTCTTTCCTCCAAAGTGCATTTATCAAACTTAACACCATAATAGCAGAATAGATGGTCCATAACTGAAAATAAAGTGGCTCTGAAACATAACCGAACTGTGGATATTATACCACACCGGTATGCTGATTAGCCAATCAATTTTAATTGACCTCCAGTAATGTACTTGGGACACATGACTTGTCACAGCACAAATGCATAGGACACCTTTTCTACCACAATCCAGTAGGAAAAAGAGATGAGGAGTATACAAATACCTCCAACAGTGGAGGAGCATTTTAATGGCACTAACCAAAAAGGCTATATGAGTTTGTAAGGGCAAATACAAATTCAAAAAAATTGTTTTAAGTCTCTCTAGTATATAAAAAAAAGGAAGAGACTTCCCACTTCCCTTTTCTTAGGGCATTTACTTTAGAAAATTTGTATTTCTAAATTCTTTTTCTGCCTCTTCGCGACATATATAAATCTTTATAAAAGCTAAATAAGCCTCTTGACAGTTTTACAACCCAGAAATGTTTTTCTTGAGGATTTGGGAGCCGTCTCTTTAAAAGATGCCTGGGTGGCTCAGTCAAACATCTGCCTTTGGCTCAGGTCATGATCCCAGAGTCCTGGGATCGAGTCCCATATTGGACTCTTTGCTCAGCGGGGAGCCTGCTTCTCCCTCTGCCTGCTGTTCCCCCTGCTTGTGTTCTCTCTCTCTCTCTGACAAATAAATAAATAAATAAATATATTTTTAAAATATAAAAAAAATAAAAAATATGCTGGTACCCGGGGTGCCTGGGTGGCTCAATCAATTAAGCATCCTACTCTTTATTTTGGGTCGGGTCATGATCTCAGGGTCACGAGACTGAGCCCTGCATCAGGCAGCATGGAGCCTGCTTGGGATTCTCTCATTCCCTCTCCCTCTGCCTCTTTCCTCATTTGCACGTGCACACGTGCACTCACTCTCTCTCAAAAAAAAAAAAAAAAAGCTGGTACAGTGCCCTAAATGTGTGTCATGACCCACTAATCAGAGATGACCACAACTTGAGAAAGGCCAAAAATGTATACACAGCAGTCATCGAGTCAATTTACGGCTCATTTACAAAACATATTTTGTCAAGAGGCAAAAGACCAGAAAAATGCCATACAGTTCAAGAGCTCCAAAGCTCCACACATCCAAGGATACAAGAAACACTGCAGGGGGCTGAAGTCCACAGGGCGCCTGTGCTCACCCACAGAGAGCAGGTTCCTGAAGTTCTCCAGCATCACGTCTCCGTACAGCTTCCTCTGGGCAGGGTCCAGCAGCCCCAGCTCCTCCTCCGTGAAGACCACCGCCACGTCCTTGAATGTCACTGTCTCCTACAACACCAAGCACACGCAACCTCAATCTTGAGCCCAATGGCTGCTGGGAGAAAGAGCACTGAGAAAACTGGAAGGGATGTGTAGGAAGTAGCTTCAGATTCTAAGAGACCGAAGTCACTTTTTAAGATTTTTTATTTATTTGAGAGAAAAAGAATGAGAGAGAGAGAGAGAGAGAGAGAGAGCATGAGAGGGGGGAGGGTCAGAAGGAGAAGCAGACTCCCCGCTGAGCAGGGAGCCGATGCGGGAATCGAACCTGGGACTCCAGGATCATGACCTGAGCCGAAGGCCGTCGCTCAACCAACTGAGCCACCCAGGCGCCCAAGAACAACTTTTAAATAAATATTAGCCTGTAAGTTCTAAAAAGGAAAAATATCGAAGGATATGCCTCGTCAAAATTACTATGTAGGATGGCAGGTCTCCTTTTCAACTTCTTCTGTATTTCACCCCTCCCCTAAGAGAACATAAGTAGCCCCGATTCTCCACACCACACACAACACTGAATATAACCAATGTTTTTAAGTCCTATGTGATCTGATCAGTAAAAAACAACTTATTTTCAATCACAGATCTGTACTTCTGAAACAAATAACGCAACATATTTTAAGAAAAAAGAAAAAGAAGAAGATAGCACGAGGGGAAGAATGAAGGGGAGTAAGTCAGAGGGGGAGACGGACCAGGAGAGATGATGGACTCTGAAAAACAAACTGAGGGTTCTGGAGGGGAGGGGGGTGGGAGGATGGGTTAGCCTGGTGATGGGTATTAAAGAGGGCACATTCTGCGTGGAGCACTGGGTGTTATGCACAAACAATGAATCATGGAACACTACACCAAAACAAATTATGTAATATATGGTGATTAACATAACAATAAAAAATTAAAAAAAACAACTTATTTTCATTTTATACTTATCTGGTAATTAATAAACTATCACATTTTCATATATTTCCTGACTATCTTTATTTCTTCTTTAGTACCTTGCCAGTCAATGTTCTTTGCTCATATTCCAATCAGGTTTTATTTTATCACTCTGTAAAATTTCTACTAGAGACTTTAAGCTTTTTTTTTTTTTTTAAACATATGTAAGTATCATCACCCACATTTTGCTATTGTTCTTGTATAGGTTTGTGTACGGCATGGTTTCTCAACCCTGACACCACTCACATTTTGGGCCAGATAAATGTCTGTTGTGGGGGGGCTGTCCCCGGCAATGTAGGATGTTTAGCAGCAGCCCTGGCTTCTATGTACCAGATGCTGAAGCCTCCCTCAAGTTGTGACACCAGAAATGTTTCCAGACATTGCCTGGAGGCAAAAATTACCCATGATTAAGAATTGCTGGTGTACAGTACAGTCTTAACTTTTTCATATGGAAACTGTGTGTTCATTGCGGGAACCCTGCACATCCAGGTGCCCTGAATGAGCAACACAGATCCTAAAGAAGGAGCCACCAAACAGTGACCAAGAAGAGGCAGTATTATCTGTGGTGTCTTCCGCAAACGACAGCAACTAAGCACACACAGAAAGGGCTAAGGCCCCGAGAAGAATTATTTTCCCTTGCCTCCCTCTTTATCCAAGTAAAACTCCTAGGGGTCTTTTTGGATCAGTTGGACCTTTGGTTTCTTGTGTGAACGTAAAGAATTTCCTAAAATTCTACAATCCTGTTTCTTTGGAATTAACATGCAGAGGCGACCAAGTACTGCCTCTTAAGGTTGGTCGGAAACTAAATGCAGTGAGAAAAGCATCAGTAGGTCTTCCTGTACTACTAGACTTTTAAATTTAAGAACACTATTACTTTCATAAAAATAAATCAATACGTAAACAAAAAATATAAATCAGGGCGCCTGGGTGGCTTCGTTGGTTAAGCATCTGCCTTCAGCTTAAGTCATGATCCCAGGGTCCTGGGATCGAGCCCCGCATCGGGCTCCCTGCTCAGCGGGAAGCCTGCTTCTCCCTCTCCCACTTCCCCTGCTTGTGTTCCCTCTCTCGCTGTGTCTTTCTATCAAATAAATAAATAAAATCTTAAAAAAAAAAGGCGTAATTTGAAAATTTTAACTATGTAACTATTATAAATATACAGTTATGAATGCATATGAGGAAAAAAACATGGGGAAATGAAAACAGTTTTTATAAGGAAAACAGTAGTAAAGGAGGGGGTTTCACTGCCATTGACTTTTCCAATTTATTTGTGAAATTATAAACGGGTAAATTAACACAACAAAAATTAAACTACACTAAAATAAAAAGCAGTGATCCTCTGGCACAGAAGAGGTTTTGAAATGCCTGCTATTCTGTTTAATTGTTTCAAGAAAGCATCTAATCACTGAGAAATGAAACAATGGTTTAAAATCTGGAAAGGAAGCCCAACTCACCTTGAACTTGGTCATTTTGTCCTCGTCCTTCTAAGAAAGCGTTGAGTCCTGAGAAGGCACAAAAGGGGAAGGAGAAAAAAAAAGCCATGAGTCTGGCCAAGACTGTCCTTAACCCATATGGCTAACATCACTACCCATATTTCATGCTTTACATCAAATAGAAATGGTGTCCTTTCCTCAGGGGGCTTGACGAGCAGAGTGCTCTGAGCTGGATTCCTGAGACCACTGACCCCTTCAGCCGAGAGCCCGTGCACAATGAACAACCTGCCCAACCACACATGGTGCCCCTACCCCAAGTTCTCCTTATCGCTTTTACGGTATGAATCTGATTTTAGGGAGGGTGGACATCGAGAGTAAAGTACCAGGTTGAGAGAGTAATCGCTGGGGCCAAATGTTTTAGGTCTACAGTACTGCTACTTATTAGCTGTGAAATCTTCGACAAATTATTAATGTCTCTGTGCCTCAATTCTTTAATCTGTAAAAATGGAGGGATTAACAGTGCCTACTTCATAGAACTGTTTTAAGAATTAAATCAGCAGGTGCAAGCACACAGAACACTTCCAGGGTATCTTATTTCTTAGTAGCTGTAGAAGAGCAGGTAATATTCACTAACATAAAACCTGTCCTCATAAATGGTTTCTATTGACAGAGCCTTTAGAGGTTGTTGCTCTGTCATATGAAAATCCCCTTTAACCTCTCAAATATATTATTCTCTCGTGGTCTGTCATACTTAATGGGATATCTTTGCAATAACATGTGAGATTACATGGATGACTTCTTTTCCTGTGTAAAATGAACATAACATAAAATTTACCCTTTTAGGGGCGCCTGGGGTGCTCAGTCATTAAGCGTCTGCCTTCAGCTCGGGTCCGTGATCCCAGGGTCCTGGGATCAAGTCCCAACATCGGGCTCCCTGATAGGCAGGAAGCCTGCTTCTCCCTCTCCCACTCCCCCAGCTTGTGTTCCTGCTCTCTCTCTCTCTCTGTCAAATAAATAAATAAATAAAATCTTAAAAAAAAATTTACCCTTTTAACCATTAAGCATACAGTTTATTAAGTGCATTCCTCCTGCTGTGCCATCATCACCACCACCCATCTCCAGAACTTCTTCACCATCCTCAACTAAAACTCCGTACCCATAAAACAACAGCTCCCCATCAGTCTGCCCCTCGGCCCCTAGTAACCACTACTCTACTGTCGCTCTGTGAATTTGACTATACGGAAACCTGCGGGCTTTTCGTTTTGTTTTGTTTTTTACAGATGACTGTTTTTTTAAAGATAAGAGACCTTGCCAAATTTACTCTTGTTAACAGTAGGGCCTTGAAAAGACTCTATCATGAAGATGAAGAAAAACTAATAAAAACCTGTGACTCTGCAAGATTTGTTTACCCATAAGTTAGGTAATCATTGTCATTATGTCATTCAAACTTACAAGGTACAATAATCGTAGCAAATGATTAAAAACAACAAAAACAGCAATGGGTGGCGTTAACTGAGCACCAAGTACATGTTGGGGACCCTATGAAGCACCTGGCCCACAGTTTCGTGAAGGTACCGCCTACGTACCTGTGACAAAGCTATGTCACACTAGTGTGACTTCGGTCCAATCGCCTACACCTCTGTGCCCGTCCTCAGCTATAACAAGGAGATAAAAACGGAATTTCAGTCAGAGGATTATTGTGGGGGAATAAATGAGCTAATCCATGCAATTCCCCTGGCACTGTACCTGGCATTTTAGGAAGTTCTCAATCAGTGATGATGAGGACTGTGGCTTCTATTTAATAGATGAGGAAGCTGAGGCTTGATGAGGTCAAGACACACGGGTGGAACTGGAATCCAGCTCACACCAGAACCGGTATTCTAGATCTTGCCTCTCTGCTACTTCTGAAGACAAAAATACGCACATGGGACTCCAAGGTCCCACAGAAAGAGAAACGAGAGCTGAGAGCTAGGGATGACAGACAGGGAAACAGGGAGTGGGCTCTGAAGCCAAAGGATCTGCTTGAGGGAGAAGAGAACAGCACGGTGAAGGGTGTAGGCTCTGGAATCAGACCACCAGTATATGAATACTGCATCCCCAACTTGCTATCACTTTGTGTCTCAAAGCCCAAGCTAAAACTGGAGATAATAATAATGACAACAATAATATTACCAACCTCAGGGGAAGGGTAGTAAGTCTAAGTGACTATACGTCAGACATTTGGAACAGCGTCTGGCAGCTTAAACATTCGATACAAGTTTCTCGCATGGCTGCTTTACACTGAACAGCCAAGGAACCCCTTCCTCGGGGCGGCTGCATGCAGAGCATGAGTTAGATTCCCGAGACCAAGCCCCTTCCAGCTGAGCGCCTCTGGGCAGTGAACGACTCGCCCAACCACACTGGTGGCCTGAATACAAGTTCTTCTTATCGCTCTCAGGGTAGGATTCTGATTCTGGGGAGGGTGGAAATTGAACATCCAACTCTGGTTAAGAGATGGTTAACTGTTGGTTAATTTATTACTTATTAGTTAATTACTATGAGTTATTCCTCCATCTTCAGATACAAGAACCCTAGTATGGAAAAGGGCAATGGAAAAATTCCCAATCTTGGAAGAAATACGCTTTTGGGATCTGTGATTCACTTTGTTCTGACTGTTTGTCCAACAACTTCTGCTCACTAAGAGTGTTCTGCAGGGAGAGCTTTCCGTCACCTCTGGGGGAAGGGGGATAATTGGTAAACCAATCTTGTAATTAATACCTACTCAGCTTTATATCTCAAGCACCTGAAACAGTGCTTGTAACAGAAAGTGCTCAGGAGACACTCAGCAGTCAGTGTCAATGTCTTGATGAATGAACATACCATCAGGGAGACAGGCAGAGGCATATGGAAAGAGCAGACTAGTTGGTCTAAGATTTCCTTGAGTTGTAAAGAAAATTTTCTTTTGAGAGGGAGGAAGAGAGAGGGAGAGAATCCTAAGCAGGCTTCACACTCAGCATGGAGCTTGACGTGGGGCTCACCTCACAACCCCAAGATCATGACCTGAGCAGAAATTAAGAGTTGGACGGGGGGGCGGAGCAAGATGGCGGAGGAGTAGGAGACCTAGATTTCCTCTGGTCTCAGGAATTCAGCTGAATAGGGATCAAACCATTCTGAACACCTACGAACTCAACAGGAGATCAAAGAGGAGAGTAGCAACAACTATCTGAACAGAGAAGCGACCACTTTCTGGAAGGTAGGATGTGCGGAGAAGTGAATCCGAGGCGATATTTGGGAGGATAGACGGCGGGGGAGGGGCCTCCGCCGGCCGCTTCTGGCAAGTGATAGAGCCGCGGAGCACAAAATCGGACCTTTTAGAAGTCGGCTCCGCTGAGGGACGTCGCTGCAGTGGCTAAGCAGGGGGTGGAATCCTCCCAGGACAGTGTGGTCTCAGGACCCTTGGGGTCACAGAAAGACCGGGGGAGCCTGAGTGCGCCAGAGCTCCCAGGTATCGGAGCAGGGAAGCCAGCTGCAGAGACGGAGCTGAGGCGCGGGCTCTCAGCTTGGGGTTGCCATAAACTGTGATCCGCGGCCCAGTCGGGCCACTGCTCCTGCAGCAGGGACCCAACAGGCGGCAGATCTGGGGAGACTCCCCTCTCTCCCCCGGGAGGAGTGGTGCGGGAGCACACCACAGGGATCTGCTGGGTTTGGAGACTCCACACGGGGTCGGGTGCCAGAGATAGAAACCCTCGGTCACAGGCCGGGTGAGCACGGAGTGCGGCCGGAGACCAGGGACAAGAGAGTGACTGCTTTTCTCTGGGGGCGCACTGAGGAGCGGGGCCCCGAGTTCTCAGCTCCTCCGGGTGGAGATTGGGAGGCCACCATTTTTGCCCTGGTCCTCCAGGGCTGTACGGAGAGCTTGCAGGGAACAAAAGCTCCTGAGATCAAACCCGAGCAGCTTGCTTAGCCCGGACCGAACCGACAAGGGCGGGGCAATTCCGCCTCCGGCAAAGACATTTGGAAACCACAGCAACAGGTCCCTCCCCCAGAAGATCAGCACGAACAGCCAGCAAGCCAAGACCAAGTTTACGGATCAAGGAGAACTGGAGAACTCCAGCGCTAGGGGAATACTGCACATAGAATTCATGGCTTTTTTTTACCATGATTCATTAGTTCATCAAAGTTAATTTTTGTTGGGCGCCTGGGTGGCTCAGTCGTTAGGCGTCTGCCTTCGGCTCAGGTCATGGTCCCAGGGTCCTGGGATCGAGCCCCACATCGGGCTCCCTGCTCGGTGGGAAGCCTGCTTCTCCCTCTCCCACTGCCCCTGCTTGTGTTCCCTCTCTCGCTGTGTCTCTCTCTGTCAGATAAATAAAATCTTTAAAGAAATAAAATAAAAATAAAAAAAAATTAAAAAAAAAAGTTAATTTTTGTTAACTGTTTTTTTCTTTTTCACTTTTTCAACCAACATCTTATCAATCTCTTTTTTTATAAAATCTTTTATAATTTTCATCTTTACAGTCATCTTCTAACCCTTCATTGTATCAACCCTTATTTTGTACATTTTTGTCTTTCTTCCTTTAAAATTTTAGGAGGCACTTTTTTCTAACAGACCAAAATACGCCCAAAATCTAGTGTGTGGCACTGATCTATGCACTAGCCTGATCATATTTGATCACATTCTGCTTTTTTTGTATTGTTCTGTTTTTGTTTTTATCTTTTTTTTTTTTCTCTTTCTTTTTTCTTTCTTTCCCTTTCTTTTCCCCTGGTTTCAGGTCTTTTCTGATTTGTATACAGTATATTTGCTGGGGACATTGTAAACCTGTTAGCATTTTGTTCTCTCATTCATCTATTCTCCTCTGGACAAAATGACAAGACGAAAAAAATCACCTCAGCAAGTCCACAATAGCCAAACTGTGGAAAGAGCCAAGATGCCCATCGACAGATGAATGGATAAAGAAGATGTGGTATATATACACAATGGAATATTATGCAGCCATCAAAAGGAATGAGATCTTGCCATTTGCAACGACGTGGATGGAACTGGAGGGTGTTATGCTGAGTGAAATAAGTCAATCAGAGAAAGACATGTATCACATGACCTCACTGATATGAGGAATTCTTAATCTCAGGAAACAAAGTGAGTGTTACTGGAGTGGTTGGGGGTGGGAGGGATGGGGTGGCTGGGTGATAGACATTGGGGAGGGTATGTGCTACGGTGAGCGCTGTGAATTGTGCAAGACTGTTGAATCACAGATCTGTACTTCTGAAACAAATAATGCAACATATTTTAAGAAAAAAGAAAAAGAAGAAGATAACAGGAGAGGAAGAAAAGGGGAGTATGTCAGAGGGGGAGATGAACCATGAGAGATGATGGACTCTGAAAAACAAACTGAGGGTTCTAGAGGGTAGGGGGGTAGGGGGATGGGTTAGCCTGGTGATGGGTATTGAGGAGGGCATGTTCTGCATGGAGCACTGGGTGTTATGAACAAACAATGAATCATGGAACACTGCATCAAAAACTAATGATGTAATATATGGTGATTAACATAACAATAAAAAAATTTAAAAAAAAATCACCTCAGCAAAAAGAACAAGAGGTAGTGCCGTCAGCCAGGGACCTACTCAATACGGACATTAGTACGATGTCTGACCTAGAGTTCAGAATCATGACTTTAAAGATACTAGCTGGGCTTGAAAAAAGCATGGAAGTTATTAGAGAAACCCCTTCTGGAGAAATAAAAAAACTAAAATCTAAGCAAGTCGAAATCAAAAAGGCTATTGATGAGGTGCAATCAAAAATGGGGGCACTAACTGCTAGGATAAATGAGGCAGAAGAGAGAATCAGTGAAATAGAAGACCAAATGATGGAAAATAAAGAGGCTGAGAAAAAGAGGGAGAAACAACTACAGGATCACGAGGGCAGAATTCGAGAGATAAGTGATACAGTAAGACGAAACAACATTAGAATAATTGGGATCCCAGAAGAAGAAGAAAGAGAGAGAGGGGCAGAAGGTATATTGGAGCAAATAATAGCAGAGAACTTCCCTAATGTGAGGAAGGAAACAGGCATCAAAATCCAGGAGGCACAGAGAACCCCTCTCAAAATCAATAATAATAGGTCAACACCCCGACATCTAATAGTAAAACTTACGAGTCTCAGAGACAAAGAGAAAATCCTGAAAGCAGCTCAGGAGAAGAGATATGTAACCTACAATGGTAAAAATATTAGATTGGCAACAGACCTATCCACAGAGACCTGGCAGGCCAGAAAGGACTGGCAAGATATCTTCAGAGCACTAAACGAGAAAAATATGCAGCCAAGAATACTATATCCAGCTAGGCTGTCACTGAAAATAGAAGGAGAGATAAAAAGCTTCCAGAACAAACAAAAACTAAAGGAATTTGCAAACACGAAACCAGCCCTAAAAGAAATATTGAAAGGGGTCCTCTAAGCAAAGAGAGAGCCTAAAAGCAGCAAAGATCGGAAAGGAACACAGACAACATACAGTAACAGTCACCTTACAGGCAATACAATGGCACTAAATTCATACCTTTCAATAGTTACCCTGAATGTAAATGGGCTAAATGCCCCAATCAAAAGACACAGGCTATCAGATGGGATTAAAAAATAAGACCCATCGATATGCTGTCTGCAAGAGACTCATTTTAGACCCAAAGACACCCCCAGACTGAAAGTGAGGGGTTGGAAAACCATTTACCATGCTAATGGACACCAAAAGAAAGCTGGGGTGGCAATCCTTATATCAGACAAACTAGATTTTAAAACAAAGACTGTAATAAGAGATGAGGAAGGACACTATATCCTACTTAAAGGGTCTATCCAACAAGAAGATCTAACAATTGTAAATATCTATGCCCCGAACATGGGAGCAGCCAATTATATAAGGCAATTAATAACAAAAGCAAAGAAACACATTGACAACAATACAATAATAGTGGGGGACTTTAACACCCCCCTGACTGAAATGGACAGATCATCTAAGCAAAAGATCAACAAGGAAATAAAGACTTTAAATGACACATTGGACCAAATGGACTTCACAGACATATTCAGAACATTCCATCCCAAAGCAACGGAATACACATTCTTCTCTAGTGCCCATGGAACATTCTCCAGAATTGGTCACATCTTAGGTCACAAATCAGGTCTCAACCGGTAGCAAAAGATTGGGATCATTCCCTGCATATTTTCAGACCACAATGCTTTGAAACTAGAACTCAATCACAAGAGGAAAGTCGGAAAGAACTCAAATACATGGAGGCTAAAGAGCATCCTACTAAAGAATGAATGGGTCAACCAGGAAATTAAAGAAGAATTAAAAAAATTCATGGAAACCAATGAAAATGAAAACACAACTGTCCAAAATCTTTGGGATACAGCAAAGGCAGTCCTGAGAGGAAAGTATATAGCAATACAAGCCTTTCTCAAGAAACAAGAAAGGTCTCAAATACACAACCTAACCCTACACCTAAAGGAGCTGGAGAAAGAACAGCAAATAAAGCCTAAACCCAGCAGGAGAAGAGAAATAATAAAGATCAGAGCAGAAATCAATGAACTAGAAACCAAAAGAACAGTAGAACAGATCAACGAAACTAGGAGCTGGTTCTTTGAAAGAGTTAACAAGACTGATAAACCCCTGGCCAGACTGATCAAAAAGAAAAGAGAAAGGACCCAAATCAACAAAATCATGAATGAAATAGGAGAGATCACAACCAACACCAAAGAAATACAAACAATTATAAGAACATATTATGAGCAACTCTATGCCAGCAAATTAGATAACCTGGAAGAAATGGGTGCATTCCTAGAGATGTATCAACTACCAAAACTGAACCAGGAAGAAATAGAAAACCTGAACAGACCTATAACCACTAAGGAAATTGAAGCAGTCATCAAAAATCTCCCAAGAAACAAAAGCCCAGGGCCAGATGGCTTCCCAG